AAGGAGTAGATCAGCTGAGACTATGAGGATGTGCCATTGCACTGACACGTGGCCCAAGTCTCCCAGCTTATTCTGTATCAGTCACTTCCACCGCATGATTTCACATCAATCCAAGGTTTGCTCCTTTCCCTCCTAACATTCTCCCTCCACAATATCCCACTAGCTTCTAAATTTACCAACCTAACCATTTCAAGTCCTTCCCTCCTTCTACATAATAGACTCTCCCTCCGGTCACCAATCCCTACTTGCACGAGCCAGGATTAGGTTCAGATTTGAGTAAAAGAAAACCCAACGTAATGCATGCACAGAAGTGGGTTTCTCTAGGAATGCCATCTGTGGTGGTGGCCAGTCCAGGGACCTTGGCCTCCACCCTCCAGATGCCCTTGCGCCCAGCAGCCTCCTGCCTGCAAGTTATTCACCCACCATCTCTCAGCCTCAAGCCTGACTCTCCATACTGGTGTATGATGCCGGGTCTGGAACTCTGCACCATTTCCCAGGCTCCCTAATCAGCTGGTCTCCTGCTGAGTTCTGCTACTGGGAAGAGGTATTAAAAGGAAGGGGAGGCAGGAAAAGGGGACTTCCTTTTTTCCAAAGCCAGCAGCAGGTGCCAGGGAGCTCCTGCCTCCAGCACTCCCAGCAGCAGAGAACTTGCCCTGCCGTCTGAGAAAGCCCAGCTGCCCCAGGGTCCCTCCTCACCAAGGCTGTATTTCCCTTCCAAGTCCAAGTAACCACCAGCTTCCATATTCTCACAGGTTTCAGCACCAACCACAGGGCCCTCCAAGCTTCAAGGTAACATCACCTCTTCTGTTTGATCCCTCTGGGAGGTATCTGTTTCCCACACTGAATTTCTGGTATATCTCAGGGACCCTTTTTGTTCTTTCAGCCTTCCCACACACCCATGACCAACCCCCTGTATTAAGTGGCCTCTGTCTGGATCCTAGGTCATACGCTCTGTCTTCTCAGCCAGACTTTGCATTCCATGAAAGCAGGATCTGTACGTCGGCACCCTTGCCTGTTGCCTAGTACATACTAGTTTATTAACAAAAACTAGCTGAATTAATTAGCCTTTAATCCATGAGGGAACTAAAGTCAGAAATCAAAATAAAGTAAGATAAAACCATGGGCGGGGGTGCCTGGGTGACTCAGTAAGTTAAGCATCCAACTTGGGTTCAGGTCATATCTCATGGTTTGTGGGTTGAAGCCTCATGTCATCAGGTTCTGTGCTCCAGCTCAGAGCCTGGAGCCTGCTTCAGATTCTATCTCCCTCTCTCTGCCCCTCCTCCCATGGGGCTGTCTCTTTCTCTCTCAAAAGTAAACATTAAAAAAAAAAAAACTACCCAGGGGTGCCTGGGTGGCACAGTCATTTAGGCATCCAACTTTGGCTCGGGTCATGATCTCACAGTTAGTACGTTAGAGCCCCACGTCAGGCTCTGTGCTGAGAGCCAGCTCAGAGCCTGGAGCCTGCTTCGGATTCTGTGTCTCCCTCTCTCTCTGAGACTCCCCTGCTCACGCTGTCTCTCCCTCTCAGAAACAAATAAAAAAAAAAAAAAAAAAAAAAAAACCCAGAGGCAAGATTTTAGTGCACACACGCAATACCAATATTGATTGCAGTCAAGAAATGCCAAATAATGATCATGAGATTCTTATAATGCTACTCTTTTGAAAACAAAAGCAGAAAATAAACTATTGGGACTACACCAAAACAAAAATCTTTTGTACAGTGATTAAAAACCATCAACAAAATGAAAAGGCAACCTACTAAATGGGAGAAGATATCTGCAAATGATCTATCCAATAAGTAACTAATATCCAAAACATACAAAGTTGTACAACTCAACACCAAACACACGGATTCAACTAAAATGTGGGCAGAGGACCTGAAGAGACATTTTTCCAAAGAAGACAGATGGACAACAGACATATAAAGTGATGGTCAACATCACTAATCACCAGGGAAATGCAAATCAAAACCACAATGACATATGATCTTACACCTGTCAGAATGGCCAGAATCAAAAAGATGAGAAATAATAAGTGTACATGAAGATGTGAGGGGAAAAAAGGAACCCTCAAGCAACCATTGGTGGGAATGTAAACTGATGCAGCCACTGTGGAAAACAGTATGAAAGCTCCTTAAAAAATTAAGTACAGAAATACAATATGATCCAGTAATTCCACTATTGGGTATTTACCCAAAGAAAACAAAAACAGTAATTCAAAAAAACATATGCAGCCCTAGTTAATTGCAGCATTTATAATATCCAAGGTACAGAGGCAACCCAAGTGTCCCACAGATAGATGAATGGATAAAGATGTGGTACACACACACAATGGAATATTACTCAGCCATATAAAAAAAACAAACTCTTGCCACTTGCAGCAACATGAATGGACCTGGGGGTATTACGCTAAGTGAAATAAATCAGAGAAAGACAAATACTGTATGACTTCACTTATATGTGAAAACTAACAACAAAGCAGACCCAGATATATAGAGAGCTGATGGTTGCCAAAGGGGAGGGAGGTAGGGGGCTGGGCAAAATGGGTGAAGGGGAGTGGGCGATACAGGCTTCTAGGTATGGCATAAGTCACAGGGATGAAGAGTACAGCATAGGGAATACAGTCAATGGTACTGTAATAGCATTGTATGGGGACAGATGGCAGCCACACTTGTGGTGAGCACAGCATAACAGAGCTGTCAAAGCCTTATGTTGTATACCTGAAATTAATGTAACATTGTGTGTTAATACTGCAGTTTTAAAAAAAAGCTGTTTTTGATAGTTATTGTTTATTAAAATATTATATATGGAAAAATATATATATATACACAAATCTAAAGCTCAATGAATTTTCACTCTGTTTCCCATAGGTTGTTAGTCAAATGCAGGTCTTTCACCATTTTCATCCGACTCCTTGTATCCACTTTTTCCTAGTTTTGTTCCCCTTAATCACTGTTCCAGTTTGAGCTGTGTTCCCCCCAAAAGCTACGCTGAGTCCTAACCCCAGAATATGACTATATGTGGAAACAGGTTCTATATAGATCTATTCCAGTCAGATGAGGTCATGGGGATGGCTAAGCCAATGTGACTGACTGGCGTGCTAATACAAGGGAAATTTGGAGACCGAAGAAGACAGGGTGAAGATGGCCATGCAATGATGGAGTCAAAGACTGGAGTGCCAGGTCTACAAGCCAAGGAATGCCAAGTGTTGCAGTGAATCTCCAGAATTTAGGAAGAGGCAGGGACAGATAGTCCCCTAGAGCGATCAGAGGGAACATGGCCCTGCAACACCTTGACTTCAGACTTCCAGCCTCCAGACTGTGAGACAATAAACTTCTGTCGTTTAAAGCCACCAGTCTGTGGTATGTAGTTATGGGAGCTACGAGAAACAAATACAAGTACTAACGTGGCATATGTTATACTTACTATATACTTTAAACTTACTTTATACCATAAATACTTATTTCACCTGATTTCCCCACCAGACTGTAAGTTCCATGGGGGACTGTAAGTTCCTTTTGGTGTCGTGTCCCAGTACCCAAAACTGTGGCACCAAGTGGACACATCAACATTACCTGCAGAGAAGACCCTTATGGGTTAGAAAAGCTGACATATACACGGGGGGGGGGGGGGGGAGGGCTATTCTTAGCCTCAAATAACAGAAAACATGACTCACGGTAGTTTGAGCAAATACAAATTTATTTATTTATTTATTTTTTTACATAAAAGCCCAGCAGTCAGCAGTCCAGGGCTGTCCTGAGGATGTGTGCTCCACCCAGCTCTGGTACTCGCTTCTGCCCCCACGGTCACAGGGGCCTCTGCACCTCTGGGGGTCACCTCCACGGTCCAGCAGGAGGAGGGGGATGGGCAAACAGCCACACCAGCTGCCATCTGGCACTTTTTATGGAGCACCTCCTCGGCAGGCACAGCTCTCACAGAGCCAACCTAGCTAAGAAACTGGAGGGTTTAGCTAAGCATATGGTCTTCTGGCCACGGAACAGAAGGAAGACGAGGGAGCAGTGTCTGGAGCGCTTGACTCAGCAGTGCTGTGGCTTGTGTAGAAGGATGAATGTCAGGAAATGTGTTGTGACAACTGGCTATACATAGTGGGAAAACCAGATCCCTATACCACACCCCACACAAAAATTAATTTCATGGAGGTTATAAACGAAGTTTGAACAAAATTTTCAGACTTTTGGGGGAAAAATATTTGGAAAAGATTAGTAAATGACATTAAAATATAGACTGTAAATCACAAAACATTAGAAAAGCAAAAGACAAGCATACTGAGAGGTAATCTGCAAAACACACACCAGAAAATCCCATGAGAATTCGCATATATCCACAAGAAAAAGGTGAGGGGTAAAAAAAAATTAAACCACATGGACGGATCCTTGAGGATACAAAAATCCTCAACCTGACTAGTTGAGAAATGCAAATTAAAACTTTTACACCTATCAGATCATCAATAAGCAAACAGTGATGATATCAAGTGCTGAGAAATGGGCAGAGGGAATATCAGTCACCAAGGTGGGAGCAGAATGGATACAACCGACAGAGAAGCCAGGACAACCAGTAAGACTGGAACGTATGGAAGTTACAACCTGGCAGTTCCTCCCACATGTGCATGGATGGAGACATGCTTCAGAACAGTTAGGGCAGCATTCTAAGAGCAAACACCCAGAAACCATCCAAACATCCAGCAGTGGCCAGAGAACCTGGAGTCCACTCATGCCACATCTTGAGCTACATCTAATGCAAAGATCCATGAACAATGCTGAATTTTAAGAGTTGAGGAATACATCTGTGTACCATTTGTAAATTTTTAGAATGCAAAATACTACTCTGTATTTAGGCATACATACCTCCACTGTAACATTTTTAAGAAACATAAAAAAACTCAGGGGCACCTGGGTGGCTCAGCTGGTTGAGCATTGGACTTCAGCTCAGGTCATGACCTCATAGCTCATGAGTCCAAGCCCCACATAGGGCTCACTGCTGTCAGCACAGAGCCTGCTTCAGATCCTCTGTCCCCGTTCTCACTGTCCCTCACCCTCACCTGCACTCTCTTGAAAATAAATATAACATTAAAAAAGAAAGAAAGAAAAAAATCAGAATCTGCAGCAATCACCTCCAAAAGGAGGGGCACATATTTGGGGCAGGGGACAAATATGGATGCAAATGTGTCAGCAGTGTTTCACTGCACAACAGGTGCAGGGATATACATTTTTATTTAAACTCTGTATGATGAAATAACTCTGCTTTTAAACATATGTGGCAGGGGTACATGGGTGGCTCAGTCGGTTGAACATTCAACTACAGCTCAGGTCATGATCGCACAGTTTGTGAGTTCGAGCCCCACATCGGGATCACTGTGCTGAAGCTGTCAACGTGGAGTTGGCTTCAAATCCTCTGTCCCCCTTTCTCTGCTCCTTCCCCCTCTCAAACACAAACATTTAAAAATAATAATAAATGCATGTGGCAAAAATGTAGATTATAGCAGCATGATCCCACATGCGTGAAAAAGCAGATGTGAGAACACAAACCTAACCTTCTAGGGAAGCATCTCCAGGTTTGAACTTTGAAAGGGATGCAAACAAGACGCTGACCGCCAAGAACAGCCCAGGACCACTTCAATCTCAGCCTTCAAATCACTGATCTACACCTGCGAGTTCCCAAGCCTAATGCGCTCATCCAAACCACCTGGCGGGGTTGTTTTCAAACTCCCCTTGCCCACACCCCACCTACTTCTTAAACCCAAACTACAGATCACACAGAACATTTATTCTCCAGATGTCTCCAACATGCAGCCAAGGGCAAGAGCCATATAGGACAGGATGCCAATTTGCCTCATAATTCAGGAAATCCAGGAAGGCCATGATAGGGCCAAAATTAAAGGCCAGGTATGATGAGTGTAGTGCTGCTGATGATGGTTGTAACAGCCACAGAGAGTTCCAGATTCCAGGCCTCGGCCATTCACATCAGTATGGACATGGCGCTCACCGAAGGGGGAGATGCTCAGTGAGGCAGGAGCCACCCAACCTAGCAGATTTCTCATGTCCAAGTGGGTTAAGTATTGGGGAAAGAAATGATTTAATACATGTCAACTGCTCAGAACCATGCCTGGCATATAGTAAGCACTCCAAGTTAGCTTTTCAAGTAAAGAAACTCTTCTAGGGAAAGTCCTCAATAAAATATTTCAATAAGGAAGATCATGCTTTCTCTTACAGCTTCACGAACAGGCTCCCAGCCCCATGAGAGAGAACACAGCTCAGACTTCTCAGTCACTGTGATCTTATAAACAATCTCAACATTTAACCTGTTGAAAGACAAGTCCCATGTATACACAGGACACATCGAGAGGGACAAAAGATTGTGAACAGCAGATCAACCAAGAGCTCAAGGAGTGAAGGTGAAAGACTGACAGGAAAATAGGTTCTTACTTTTCACCTCATCCACTTCTATCCATTTTTTAGAAGAACCTAATCAAGGGGCGCCTGGGTGGCTTAGTCGGTTAAGCGTCCGACTTTCGCTTAGGTCATGATCTCGCGGTTCGTGGGTTCGAGCCCCGCGTCGGGCTCTGTGCTGACTGCCAGCTCAGAGCCTGGAGCCTGTTTCAGTCTGTGACTCCCTCTCTCTCTGACCCTCCCCTGCTCACGCTGTCTCTCACTCTCTCCTAGAAATAAATAAAAAATATAAAAAAAAAAAAAAAAGAAGAACCTAATCAAGAATATTAATTACAACAAGTCTGGTTACAACAGGGACACAGGGTTGCTCTTGCTTTTAAGATGGAGACTCCGGGCACCTGGATGGCTCAGATGGTTGAGCATCAGACTTTGGCTCAGGGCATGGTCTCACAGTCCGTGGGTTTGAGCCCCGCATCAGGCCCTATGCTGACAGCCTGGAGCCTGCTTCGGATTCTGTGTCTCCCTCTCTCTGCTCTTCCCTGCCCCTCCCCCTCAAAAATAAACAAACATTAAAAAAATTTTTTTTTAAAGAGAGAGACTCAATTGTTATTTAAGTGGAAAATGCTGAAGATGGCTCTGGAATGGATGGGGACACACTGTTCCATGGTGGGGTCAGGAGCACCTAAGAACAGTCTGGAGAGCAGAGGCAGACCATGGCCAGAACAGACAGACCCAAGAAAGCTGCCAGATGATGGTTCTTTCCTTTAACTGCTGGCTTTCTTCCACTCCCTGTGCCATCTTTTTCCCCTCGATGCACCCCAAAGGACCCCAACCTGTCCTCCTGTACCCACCAATCCCTTCCAGCTCTTCCTGAAGCCCCCTAAGCTAGAGGTCCCTAGAGTTCGCTTGCACTCAGGTCCCACCCTCTGTGTGGTACCCTACATCTTCCCCTGCCGGAGCCTTTTCAGTGAGAGGCTCAGAGTACGTGGGAGATGGCACAAGGCCCCAGCCCCATGACCCCATTTGCTATGTGACACTGGACAAGTTTCCCTCGACCTCCCAGAGCTGTGCTTCCCTATCTGGGAACAGAAGGCACAGCACTTGCCTCCTGGGGCTGTGTGGCAGGGCCGAGGGGAGGAGGCTGAGAGCTGTAAAGCTGGCCACTTGGAAGTTACTCGAAGGAAAAGAGAAGCAAGCCCCTTAGGACAGTCGCACAGCTGAGGTTGGTTATTTCACTTTATTTAGCAAACGGTCACACTCTGAGCCCCACCAAATTACTCCTCCAGCCTGACTCGAGGGTCTGCCTTGGGAAGAAGCTCAGAGGGTGACCAGGAGGGCCCAGGTTCCCCAGTCAGCCTCCTTTTCCACCAACACACACCGCACAAAACAACATCACTGCTTGCATCCTCAGGCACCCACCCAATGTGGTTGGGGGGCCCTCCAGTGTTCAAAAGCTACCTGCCAGGGCCCCGCTCCGGGCACAGACTCCTCCCTGCTCCTGAAATGTTGGCAACGGCCGAGGAACTCTGCCCCAGGTGTGGGGATGCCAAACCCTATTCCCCAGCCCTGCAGTTTGTCCCTGCTGGGCAAGAAGCAAAATGTACGAAAATACTTTAATTATTTCTTTGAAACGGTTAAGAAATAAGGTTGTCCTGTTTTTCTTTTACAATCCCAGTAAAAAAAAAAAAAAAAAAGTTCACATTAGTGCCGGGGCCCAAAACAAGGCCTTCCCCAGAGCAAAGCACCGGCCACTCAGTAGAATCGCTTGTTCCGCTCCTGTCGCTTCTGAAACACTACGGCCCCCACCACGGCGCACACGATGATGCCCAGGAGCGCACACAGCAACAGCAGGAACACCCGCCACCCCGTCAGGGGCCCGCTGCGGAAGTTTCCCGTCGGGTCATCCACATTGTCTGGGGGAGAAGAGAAGGGGAGCTGAAGTGGCAAAGTGGAGAAGTCAGGCGGGCTCCCAGGAGACAGAGAGTCCAACAGGATGGTGCAGAGCAACAGGCAGCAAACAGCCCTGTGTCCGACTCGCAGCTGTACGAGGGAGGGGCAGGGGAATGGACAGAGGAATAATCCCACTGGGGCCGAGGTTCCCAGGGAGCAAGGCGCCAGGTGTCTTCTCTGCAAGGAGCTGGTGAAAACTGGATTCATGGCCTCCCCAGGAGAGGCTGAGTCAGCACAAGGCAGGCCCAAGAACTGCATTCACAAGCCCCACCTCGGCGCCATGCAGTGGTCCAAGATCCCGATCTGGAGAGACACAGCCCTGGCCAAAAGCTGCCCTGATTCACACCTGAATGCATTCCATGGTCCCTAGGGAACTCTCCCCTCCAGCCCCTGTCCTTCTGCTCCAGCCACACCACTTCTCTGCCTGCTAACATCAAGGACTCTGCCGGAAACGAGGCCCTGACACGAGGTATTCTCCTGGAATCCCAACTACCCTGGGATGGGGAACTCATGATCTCGCTTTTAGAGGAGACTGACAGCAGGAACGGACTTAGTCAAGTTCACTAGCCTGTGGGGGAAGGGACGGGGGTCTAGACTCAAGTCCATCTGCCCTGTGCAGCCTAGACCCTGTTCCTGCCACTCGGCCTTCCTTCCGAGCCCCAGCCCTCCATTCCTCACTGTGGAGAAGGCCTGGAATGCCAGGTAGGAGCCAAGCTATGTCCTCCTTTCCCACACAACCTGACCAGGGCAGGTCTGCTGACACGGTCTCACCACCAGCCTCTCTCTTCCTCTGCCCCCTTCTTTGCCTCAGTCACTAGACTGAGCCCTAGGACAGCACCTAGCCCATGGCCAGGCAGCGAGTGGAAGCTCTGGAACCATCTGCTAAAGGAACAAATGGATCAGCAAGTCTGCAAACGAATTAATTCCTGCCTGGCCAACCTTAGGGGGTTGCCGGGTAGGTCAGAGCAGATGAGTTCTCTGAAAGCCCTCAGCCAGAAAACCTTCAATTAAAGGTTGCAAAAACAGCAGTACATGGCAGGATTTGTTTACCTCCTGAGATGTTGATAAGCAGTTTGAATCTTCAAAAAGTGAGAAGTCACTCTGGCTCACACTCCACATGGTGACCTTGGGCTAGGCTGAGAGGCTTCTCAGTGCCCCACCCCAGCCCACAGGCACAACTTCAGGGTTCTTAGAGTGGATGTCCACACATAGGAGTTTCACTTCAACCAGAACCCTTGCTCTGTGAGAAGAGACTGGTGGGTAATTAGCACCATGAGAAGAGTCCAGGCTTTGGGGTTTTGCAAAAACTCAAGGTTGAATCTTTTCTCACTTCGTTCTAGCTCATGAAACCTGGAGGACCAGTTCCCCTGGCTAGTGGCAGCACCTACTTCCCAGGCCATTCACTGAGACCTCACATGTGTTACATGAGAATGCCCTGCGTGCCAACTATACCAACAAACTGGCCCCTTTGGCTTTATTGGCCATTAACCCAGCATGAAGCAATAGCAGAAATAGGTACCAGGTGCTCACAAATCTACTCATTAGCACTGACTGCTGATCCAAGACCCCAGGCCACAATCACAGCTGGACCGAGGAAAAGCAAATGGACCATATGCACTCAGCCAAGCCAGCCCCACCGCAACCCCATACCAGGCTGCCCAGGCCAAGATGGGCCTTGCACACATACCTTTGGGCGACTTGAGGAAATTGACACTGGGCTCAATCTTGGTCCAATCAATGTTCTCTTCATCAGGCGTATGTTCTACCATCAGCTGGAACAGTTTCATGGAGATGATGTCATGATTGTCTGTAGGACCAAGAGTTAGCTTAGAAGGAGCATGGAGACTGCCTTCCCCAGCGAGAAGTGCTGCTCCAGTCCCTGAGAATGGCCAGGTCCCCAGGGAAGAACTCTGCTCCTACCTAGTGAGGGGCCTGTTTTCTTCCCAGCAACTCCCAGCCACCCCCAGCAGGTATTCCAGGAGCCAGAACACCTCTAGAACACAACAGTAAGAAATCTGAGAGGAGGCAGGACAGAAAAAAAAAAAGCATGAGTTTTACAGTCAAAATCACCTAGGTCTAAATCCTGAGTCAGTTTCTTTGTAAATCCAGGTGATAATCTCCATCTTGCCTGGTTATCACAGCAAGAAAAAGAAGACAGCTTGCCCGGCAGACAGTATGTACCAGAAAAGGACCTGCATGTTATTCTACAGCCGGCTGAGAAGTCTGATCCTCCCAAGGGGCAGGCAGGCAGCTGCCAAGTGCTCCTGTCAGAGACCCCAAGTTCTGGATGCAGATGAACGAATCAGCAACCAGCTGAGGGCTAGGCTCTAATATCTGGGCAGTGATTATCCCAGAAAACACTTGAGGGGCACCTGGGTGGCTCAGTCAGTTAAGCGTCCGACTTCGGCTCAGGTCATGATCTCATGGGTCATGATCTCATGGTTGGTGGGTTCGAGCCCCGCGTCGGGCTCTGTGCTGACAGCCAGCTTAGGGCCTGGAGCTTGTTTCAGATTCTGTATCTCCCTCTCTCTAACCCTCCCCTGCTCACACTGTCTATCAGAAATAGATAAAACATTAGGAAAAAAAATTAAAAAAACAAAAACATTTGAGAGGGGCACCTGGGTGGCTCAGTCAGTTAAGCATCCAACTTTGGCTCAGGTCATGATCCCACGGTTCGGGAGTTCAAGCTCCGCGTCGGGCTCTCTGCTGTCAGCACAGAGTCTGCTTTAGATTCTCTCTCTCTCTCTCTCTCTCTCTCTCTCTCTTTCTCCCCCTCCCTCCCTCCCTCCCCCTGTGCATGTTCTCTTTCTCTCCCCCTCCCTCCCAGAACATTAAAAAAAAGAATTAAAAGGGAAAAGAGACCACTATATCATGTGACTACCCATGAGATTACTGCTGCAGAGGCTGGCATTCACAACTCTCTGATTAATGGTCAGGCCCTACTGTGTACACAGCCATTTCCAACACTCTTCATTGGGCCTCTCCAATGCTTAGAGAGCACCCACCTGCCACAGATCTCGCTTTTTTTCCAGAACCTTCTCCTGACATATGCTAAAGTACTACCCAATGAAATTCCAGACAACCTGAGAGGAAGGACTGTGCTGGAATCCTGGGTGACTTAAGACTGACATTCAGCTAGTAACTGATTACCAAGTAATCAGCAAGCAAGTAATGATTACCTGAAGCTGGGTAACGGGCAAAGGGAGTTATTGGACTATCCTCCCCACTTTTGGGTGTATAATTAAAATATCCACACTAAAAACTTTAAAACCCCAAAGCAATGGACTCTCTGGGGACCAAGTGGACCTAGACATTTCAATGGTGAAGGGGAGGCTCCTGGAAATGTTTATCCTGAGGATAAATAAGCCCTCTGTCTGGTCCTGTATGTTGTTTCCCACTTCTGGTCAGCAAGAGCTGGCCCAGAGCTTGGTGCCTGCCCTCTGGGGACCCTGATTGCCTTCTAAGGACCATGGCCAAGGGTCACTATAAAGTGTCACCCAGGCCTGGTGGCCCAGTGAGGCTTGCACAGGTTAGCAGCACCCCAATGCATACAGACACACTGTGGGCCAAAGAAGACAAGAGCCCTGACTTTATGAAGCTTACAATTCAGTCAAGCAGACCCAAAAAATGAAATAAGTTACATGGGAGATTCCAGGATGGTTAAATGCTATGAAGAAAAATAAAGCCAGGAAAGGGGATAAGGAGTGTACAGGAGACTGGGGTACGTGTAATTTTAAAATAAGGGAATCAGGGAAGGCCCCACTGAGGAAGTGACATCTGAGCAAGACCTGAAGGAGTCAAGAATGAAGCACAGGTACAAAGGCCCGAGGCAGGAGGGCACTGGTGTACCTGAAGAACAGGTGAGGGGGATATAAGGGAGCAGGAAGCCATGAGTCCATAGGGGAGGCATGGCACACAGCGCCCAGCAAACACCACTGGGGCAGACAGGGGCCTTGATTCTGTAGGAGACGAGAGGAGTGGCAAGACTTCACTTGGGCTTTAATGGAATCGTTCTGACTGCTGAACTGGGAGAGACTATAGGAAGGCTGACATGGAAGGAGGGGACCACATGGGAGGCTCCTGCAGTTGTCCAAGTGCGTGAAGATGACGGCCTGGACCTGGCAGGTACTATCAGAGGGAAAGAAGTGGTCTGCTGCACCAAGAAGACAAAGCCAGCAGGACTCACCAAAGGATGAGAGGTGGTGTGTGAGAGAAAAAATAGAGACCACAGTGGCACCAAGGTGTCTTGGACTGAACAACTAGAATAACAGAGATGCTATTTATGCCTTGGCAAGATGTGGGCTTCAGCTATAAGCATGTGACTACTGAAATGCCTGTTGGGTATCCAGACAGAGATGCTGAGCAGGCTACTGGTGACAGGTCTGAAAAGGTCTGAGCTGGTGATGGAAATGTAGGACCCTGTAGTATATGGATTCAAAGTCCCCTAGCTGCAGAGGGGAAGACGGCCGAAGGAGTTCTCACGGAATAAAGCCCCAGGTATGTCAACATCCCCAGATGCTGAAAAGTAGAGGAAGAAACCCAGATGTGTGTGGAACCAAACAAAGGAAGTTCAAAAAGGAAAGCGATCAACTATGTCACAAGTTCCCAAAAGACCAGGGAAGGTCAAGATAGACTTAATGCCTCGCTCAACCCAGATGCTCACCAGACAGGTCTCCAGTGCCAGCCGAGGCTCCAAAGTAGTAGCCAGTGGGTAGGCGCACTCCCGTGATGTCAATGCAATTCTTCCACTCGTTCTTGTCCTCTAGGTCGGTCATCACCTGCAGACAGCCAGCAAGTCAAGTACATGCCAGGTCCAAGCCCACCCATCAACTTAAGCCTACACAGAAGTAGCACAGGCATAACCAGCCCCCATCCTGCCTGCTCACCGTCAGACGGCCCCGGGAGTAGCGCACAGCCAGGAAGGTATCGTGATCACGGTTGCGGAAGTCAGCCGTGCAGCCCGCCAGCTCGGTCCAGCGGCCATCTTTGCTATGGTCGTAGGACAGGGAGCCATTGTTCACCATCACCGAGATGTACGGGAACACACGCTGAGATCGAGACACCAGTTACTCTAAGGCCAGCGCATCCTGTGGGAGGCACTGGGGTCACCCACCACCCTGATCCCTGGAGGCCCCTTTTGTGCTGAGAACAGAGAGAAGTCCTGGTTCCAACCCCCCAGCCAAATACCCAGTCCTTCCTGTCCTGCCTGAGGGAGAGAGCAGCGGCATACCTCTGTAGTCTCATCATTGGGATATGTATCCAAGAAGATGGCTAGGCCGTGGAAGTTGTCTTTGCTTCCAAACACAGGCCCTGGAATTAGAAGGAGATGCTCTCGTAATGGGAGATATTGGAGTTGTCCCCTGTGTACCTGAAGGACAAAGTATTGCCAGTATGGGTGAGGGAAAGAGAGGCTAATTTATGGTCATTCGCCCAGGAAAGAGAAGGGATCTCTAAGGGAGGAGGAGGTGTAAGGGGTATAGCAGAGAGGACTCAAAATCTGAAACGGTAACTTGTTTAAGGGACAGCACCTGGCCATGTGTTCTGACATGTCAGGTGACAAGGAGACAGAAAGGACTTATAGAGAGGAAAGGAAGCCCCATGCCCCATCCTCTGACCCAAGGGTCAGCAACTTTCTGTCAAGGGCCAGAAGAAAAAACATTAGGCTTTGCAGCCACATATGGCCTCAGCCACACAGTCTTCCTTTTGTTTTAAAAATGGTAGAATGGTAAAATCCATTCTCAGCTGGTGTACAACACCAGGCCACAATGGGCTAGAGTTGAGCTGCAGGATCCAGCTGTTCCTCTTCACAAAGGGACACTCCCCAAAGTAGATTGGAGGTCCCGGGTGTCCTCAAAGAAGAGAGCAGTGCTCGAATCTGGGCAGAACGCCCCCACCTTCCTACCTGGCACAAGGCGGTCCCGGGTATACCACAAGGCAATGCCATCTCCATGAAGATTCTTCTTCCCTGCACCATGGACTTTGAAGTGGACATGCATCTCCCAGTCCTTGAGGAAGCAAGGCTGGAGAGAAAGCAGAGAGAGGAACTCAGAGCCCCCTGGGCCTTCCTGCCACACAGAGGTGACCCGTACAGGCCCATCTCCTCCACAGAGACTGGGCAGTCCTTGGAAAAGGGCCAGGCAGCAGGGTCACAAGTACCACTGACCAAAAGACCACCTCAGCAGGAAGGGAGGGGGATGCTGGGCCTCCCAGGTGGGAAGGAGGGAGGCCATACAGTGTCCCAAGGCCGTCTGAGGCCCAGACTGCCCACTCTGGCCTAGTCTTCTCTTGGGCCTGGTTCTCACACTGATTCACCTTCCTCAACACCAGCCAAACCCATCAGCCCTGTTTCCTCTTCATCTCCACTGCTCCTTGTGGAATTAACCCTATTGGAGCCACATATTTTACAAAAAAGAAAACCCGTTCAGAGACAAAATAACATGTCCACAGCAGGTAAGTGGATGGTCCTGACTCAAACTCAGATCTGACTCAGAAATTTGTGTTATGTCTTCTATACCTCCCATGGCCGTCAGACCTTTAACATAAAAGTACAGCAACTCTTTTCTGGTCTCCCAACCCCACTGTCTTTCCCTTCTAACCAATCTTCTGGATGACTCCAAACCCCAAGTTCTTGGCCCCCATACTTCTTGCCAGCCCAGCTTCAGTGTGAGGACAGTGCCAGGGCTGGAGGGCCGGAAGGGTCATGCTCTGGGGTCTCGGAACTACTGCGATATGAAAGAAGGCAGATACACCGTGGCATTCAGGAACATCAGGTGCAGAGCTGGGCACGGTCCACAGTAAGGGAAACACAGCTTGGCCTTATCCACCAGAAAATTGCTTGTGAAAGCTAAAGTATTCACAAATACTTTAACAAGAATCCACTTCGAGGAAGTCTGCAGCTGGGTACATGAGGAAGTGTTTAAACAAAGGCCCAGGGGCACCTGGGTGGTTCAGTCAGTTAAGTGTCTGACTTCGGCTCAGGTCACGACCTCGAAATTCTTGAGTTCGAGTCCCACATCAGGCTCTGTGCTGACAGCTCAGAGCCTGGAGCCTGCTTCGGATTCTGTGTCTCCCTCTCTCTCTGCCCCTCATCTCCTCTAAAATAAACATTTAAAAAATTAAAAATGAAGGCCCATCAGAAAAGCTAACTAGAACAAGACATTGTTGACTTATCTGATTGGCAACTATTAAAGAGATCATTAATACCAGTGTAAATAAGGATGGAAGGAAACACATGTTCTCGATCAATGGGACTATTGATGCTTCCGTCTTCCAGGGGTCAATCTGGTTGTTTCAGGTTTTTAACAGACCACGACAGATCCATAAGCCTTTACATTTGAAGATATCAAAGATACTAAGAGAAGGAAAATAAGTGGCAAAAGTTTTCTGAAAAAAAGGAATTAGTATATACAGAGGAAAAAATTTTTAAAAAATGAACCAACATTAATAATAGGTGATGTTGGTAGGGGAACTACAAGAAATATTTTCTATATTTGAATTTTATATAGTGAACATAATTTAAAAAGTAAAAAATAAAAAACTTTAAGAGCACTTGGCTGGCTCAGTCAGTAGAGCATGGGACTTTTTTTTTTTAATATTTTATTTATTTCTGAGAGAGAAAGACAGCGTGAGCAGGGGAGGGTCAGAGAGAGAGGGAGACAAAGAATCCGAAGCAGGCTCCAGGCTCTGAGCTGGCTGTCAGCACAGAGCCTAACGCGGGGCTCGAACTCACGAACGATAAGATCATGACCTAGAGCCGAAGTTGGACACTTAACCGACTGAGCCACCCAGGCACCCCTAGAGCATGGGGCTCTTAATCTCAGGATTGTTGGGCATAACACTGGGCATAATGCTCACTTTATTTTAAAAAATGTTTAAAAAAATAAAAACAACGAACTGAATAACTTTACATGCCACCAGGGGTGATGTGGCTTGTGCATTCACTGATGCATCAGAAGTACAGCTTCAGCTCTGGGCACCAAAAACCAAGGTGATGAGACCCAGCTCTGGCCCCTGAGAATGTAGAGCTGGTGGACATCTAACAACAGCTTGCAAGTAGTGTGAAGTCTTAGCCTTCCCAGCTCTTGGCCAGTTCTGGCTCTGCGGAATCTGTAGATTCGAGAAGGAGACAACTGAGAGGTGAGAAGACCAGACAGATAGACAAAAGATAGATGGACAAAGACTCTGACTCCAAGGCCTACTGAGGGAGTGGAAGGCCTGGTGAGCCAAACTTGCCTTGGGCTGGAACCGCAAAGACAGCAACCCAAAAAACAACAGTGAATGAGGAAAGGCCCTCCCAGGGGCAATAGCCAGCTTGAGCCCTCTCACCTCTCAATCCCTGAAAGTAGACTAAAGTGATTCACCCAGGCCTCAAGTTTTTCAACAATCTTACAAATAAATATCTGGCATAAAATAAATAACCAGACACATAAAAGACAAGTTATCAACAAGACCAGAAAAGAGGGAGGGAGAAAACAGGCTGATGGGAACTCCAGATACTGGACTTTCAAATAACGAGTTTACTATAACCAAGGGAATAAAACATAAGATTGAGAATTTTGAAAAGTAACTGAAATTTTATATATATTTTTTTTTAATTTTTTTTTTTAATGTTTTTATTTATTTCCAGGAGAGAGAGAGAGAGACAGCGTGAGCAGGGGAGGGTCAGAGAGAGAGGGAGTCACAGACTCCGAAACAGGCTCCAGGCTCTGAGCTGGCAGTCAGCACAGAGCCCGACGCAGGGCTCAAACCCACGAACCGCGAGATCATGACCTAAGCGAAAGTCGGACGCTTAACCGACTAAGCCACCCAGGCGCCCCATTTTATATATATATTTTAATGTTTATTAATTTTGACACAGAGAGAGAGAGGGAGAGAGAGAGCACGCGCGAGCGAGCGCATGAGCAAGGAAGGGGCTGAGAGAGAGGGAGACAGAGAGGATCCCAAGCAGTCTCCACAACACCAGTGTCCAATGAAGGGCCTGATCTCATGAACCATGAGATCATGACCTGAGCTGAAACCAAGAATAAGACACTTTAACTGACTGAGCCACCCAGGTGTCCTAAAAATTACTGAAAAAAAAAAAAGGGGGGGGGAATCACACTACAAAAAAAATCTTAGAACTAAAAAAATACAATAACTGAAATTACCAATGTAATGGACAGGTAGATTAATAAAAACAGATGGAGAGAATCGGTGATCCATGGGTCAGAGAAGTAAAAAAATATATATATATATTATATATATATACATACACACACACACACACACATATATATCTATCCAGGATGAAGCAGATAGAATGGTAGATATAAAATTGTCAGAGACAGAGAGTAAAATACTCTATGTAAACTGGAATTTCAGAATCAGTGGTGAGAGAACAGGGCAAGGGAATATTTAAAGAGATATCCAAGTACTTACTAAAACTGATTCGCAGACATTACGCCACAAATCTTAAATCTGACAAACCAAAGAAGACAAATAAAACCAGGGACACCTGGGTGACTTAGTCGGTTAAGTAACCGACTTCTGCTCATGTCATAATCTCATGGTTCGTGGGTTTGAGCCCCGCCATCAGGCTCTGTGCTGACAGTGTGGAGACTACTTAGGATTCTCTCTCTCTGCCCGTTTCCCACTTGCACATTCTCTCTTCTGTCAAAAATAAACTTTAAAAAAAGAAAATCACACCTAGGAACATTTAAAAAGGAGGGAAGGAAGGAGTGGTAGAAAATCAAACACTTAAAAGCAACAAGCGGGGGTCTTGGGGCGCCTGGGTGGCTTAGTCGGTTGGGCGTCCGACTTTCGCTTGGGTCATGATCTCACGGTTCGTGGGTTCGAGCCCCGCGTCAGGCTCTGTGCTGACTGCCAGCTCAGAGCCTGGAGCCTGTTTCAGAGTCTGTGTCTCCCTCTCTCTCTGACCCTCCCCTGCTCATGCTGTCTCTCTCTCACTCCTAGAAATAAAAAAATATTTAAAAAAAAAAAAAAAAGCAACAAGCGGGGGATAAAAACCACAAGATTATCTTCAAAGAAATAATTAGCCTGATATGGGACTTTTGCACAGAAACACTGGTAGCCAGAAGACAACAGACTGAAGTATTTGTAGTAAAAAGAAAATAACAAAAGGTGCGTGGTTGACTCAGTCAGTTAAGCATCCAACTCTTCATTTCGGCTTACGTTATGATCTTATGGTTCATGGGATTGAGCTGTGCATGGGGCTCAGAGCTGACAACACAGAGCCTGCTTGGGATTCTCTCTCTGTCTCTGTGTGTGTGCACTTTTCCTCTCTCCCAATAAACATTTTTAAAAATAAGTGAATAAGGGGCGCCTGGGTGGCTCAGTTGGTTAAGCATCTGACTTTGGCTCAGGTCATGATCTCGCAGTTTGTGAGTTTGAGCCCTGCATCAACCTCTGTGCTGACAGCTAGGAGCCTGAGGCCTGCTTCAGATTCTGTCTCCCTCTCTCTGCCCCTGCCCTGCTCGCATGTGCTCTCTCTCAAAAAAGGAATAAAAATTTTTTTTAATTTTTTAATAAGTAAATAAAATAATGGAGAACACAGGATTCTATGCTTAGCAAATGCATCCTTCAAGAATGAAGATGAAATTAAGACATTTTCAGATAAAAAAGACTTTTTAAAAAGAGACATTTTTATTTATTTAGTTTATCTGAGAGAGAGCAGGTGTGCCTGTGCACACAAGCAGGGGAGGGACGGGGGGGAAGGAGAGAGAGAATCCCTTGCTGGCAGGGCTCAAACTCACAAACCACAAGACCATTACCTGAGCCAAGCGTTGGACACTTAACTGACTGAGCCACCCAGACACCCTAAACAAGACCCATTTTTAGATTTAAAATATATATATATATATTAAAATTGTCTTTCATTCATCAGAGAGAAGGAAAACTATCCAGATATAAAATCAGAGATTCAGGAAGGAGCAAAGAGCAACAACAGTAAATGTGAGAGTTAAAATCTAAGTAAATATTTGACTGCATAAAACAATAATGTTTTATGAGAAGATTAAATAAA